GGGGTGCGAGGTGGGACCGTGCTGCCTGCCGGCTTGCACACCCAGGCTGCCACGCCCACTCATCCCCTCGCCCGTCTGCAGGCAGCGCTGAACCCTTCGCCGTAAGCTGAGCCCTGAACTTGTCCTCCCCTAGCTCTGCTGAGCAGCGGCCCCTTGACCCCCGCTGCCTATCATCATTGGCTGACCTGCCTCGGCCCTTCCACCTTGCACTTTTTCCACCCTGCCAGCTGACGGACCACCCCGCGGCCACTGGCGCCGAGGTGGACTTCATTCTGGAGGCGCTCTCAGACTTCCTCAGCATAAAGGTGTGCTGCACGGCCATGAGCCAATCGACACCCACGCGGGTTTTTTGGGGGGGGGGGGGGGCTGGGGTCCATGTGCAGCAGACCCCCGCAACCCCCTGGCGGCTGCACCCAGCTGCGCGCCGGGGCCGCGCGGCCGGCGGCGCGGGGCCGGGCGGCGTGCGAGCGGCTCCAGGGCGCCGGGGAGGCGGTCCCGGCTGCCCCGTCGGCGCCTCAGGTGCCAAGGACAGATGCACCCTCCCCAACCCCCTGGTCGCGCCCGGCTGCCACCCCACCCATGCGCGCCACCTCACCTCTCACCCGTCGCTGAGCCACCGTCCAGTCCCCTTGTGAGCCGTCCTGCCGGCTCCGCCAGCGTCTTTTGGAGAAGCAGAGATATGACACCACCACCAGCACCACCACCACCACCACCACCCCCACCCCCCACCATGATATATAATTCAAAAAGGTGCGGCGCCAGGACGTCCTGTCCACCTGGAGTGGCATCCGCCCCCTGGCGGCCGACCCCACCAAGCAGCAGCAGCAGGAGGGCGCCACCTCGTCCATAGTGCGCGACCACGTCATCTTCCAGGACGCGGACGGCCTGGTGACGGTGGGTTACGCCGGGGCCGGGTGACGGCGGGGTTCTGGGTGGCGTCTGGGTAACTGGGGGTCAAAGAGGTTGAGCGGGTGAATGGGCGCAGGGTGGGCTGCTCAGGTGCTGGAATGGGGCGGGGCGGCTGCAGGGCGCGTCGTTTCGCGTATGGTGAGGACTCACCAGCGCGCCGCAAGTTTATGACTCATGCGGCCACCGCCCTCCGCCCTCTGAGCGGGGCGCGCCACTCCTCATCTTGCGCATCTGCGAGCATCTCGCCCCCTCACCCTTACCGTAACGCGCGTGCCTCACCCGCGGCGTCACCTGGCGGTGGCCGGCCAGGTGACCGGCGGGAAGTGGACCACGTACCGCCGGATGGCGCAGGACGTGGTGGACACGCTGGTGACGTCCGGCCGCCTGCCGGCCACGCAGCGGCCCTGCGCCACTTCTGGGCTGCGGCTGCTGGGGGCTCGCGAGTACCACGCCCACACGCACGCAGAGGTGTGTGTGTTTGAGGGAGGGTATGCAAACCGTTGAGCGCAGGGATTGGGATGCAGCCGCGAGTGCTCTCCGTGGCGCCGCGGCCGCGGAGAGTGGGCAGCATCCCCAGCCCTGCGCCCGGCAGCTCTTGGGCCCACTCTGTTCTTCCTCGGACGCGGTTGGCGCCCTTGTTGCCCCTTTCCGTGCCTCATTACCGCGCCCCGCCCTGCACAACGCAACCCTTACCCGCATCCCCTAACCCACACCCCCACCCCCATCTCAACCGCCAGGTCGCCCAGCGCAGCAGCGACCTTGCGTCCGCCCCGCCGCTGTCCGGCTCCCCCGCCCCGCGCCGCGCGCTGTCGCCCGCCCGCGCGCGCCACCTGGCGGCCGCCTATGGCGACAAGGCCTTTGACGTCCTGGAGCTGGTCAAGTGGAGCGACGGCGCGCTGGCCGCGCCGCTCGCGCCGGGGCTGCCCTACATAGAGGCGGAGGTGCTGCACGCGTGCCGCCAGGTCAGCGGACGCGCCCGCGCCGGGCGCGCGCAGCCGGCGCAGGCTTGGGGGCACAGGAGGCTCGGCGCCGCCTGTGCC